CTAATGGCTCAGAATCTCTCCTGGACAGGAATCATTGTTTTATGAAGCTCCTGAGGTATTTCTGATGAGTAGCAGCAAGCCTGGGGGCCACTGTCCTCTAGTACCTTGACTGTTACTAAACAAGTGCAGACACCCAGAGGAGACAGTGTATAGAGTTCACTATGCTGAGACCCAGTGGAGCCTGGTTCTGTGTACTCACTCCCACTAGCATCATGGTAACCGAGACATGGTCTCCTACTCCCAGTATGCCTTCTGCTTTGACCAGGAAAAGAGTGGTTCATTGCCTGTGCACTGAGTTGGGGATCCTCCTATTGCATTAACTTACTCCCACGCTCTTGATTTTGCTGGTGCTGGCTAAGCAGGCTCATCACCCTCATGATACTGAGTGGGAGGGAGCATCTTCTCAAATGCTACCCTGTGGTGCCCTCAGACCTCACCCAGTCCCAGCCTTGTTGATTCCTCAATATGATACTGACTTTTCTCAGTCACCAGATACTTTAAATCCAGGAATCTAAGCCATTCCTCTTCGCCAGAGAAGCAAGACAGGGCCCTCAGTAAAGTTAGCCTAGGCCTAACTATGCTTCTCATGTTCCATGACATTTAAGGTAAATAATCTGCAGGTTTTGGCTAAATGAGTCCAACAAATTACCTGTCTATAAGACACAGTCAAATACTGGCTCTCTTTTTCCAACGATAAAGTTGTTCATTTTTATTTTTTATTTTTTTTTTTATGATAAGTATTCTCCTTTATTAATGAGAACCAGTAATACAGCAATACACTGAAATAAAAAAAAAAATGATCCACCTGCAAAAATCATCCTAGCCTCAATTTATCACCACAAATAAAAAGTTTGGTACCCGAAGATAACTAGTAATATTTTGTTTTTATTTTCCTAATATAAATCATGTGTCTTTCTAAGTGAATACTCCGGGTAGCTCTCTTCATTTTTTTTTTTTTTTTTTTTTTGTGAACATTCTAAGAACTTTTATTTTAGGTCCATGTCAATGTACACAAATATCATATTTTTATGAAAATGTGATCATACTGCGACTTATTGTTTTTATTTAACAATGAACATATTTATCTTTAAATAATCTTCTACAACATAATTTTTAATGACAAAAATGTAGTCCATTACATCTGTGTATTATGACATTTTTATTTAATCAACCCTCATGGGTAATATTTTAGATTGGTCCAATAAGAATTTTACTATTAGTAAGATTGCTATGATGTACTTCTTTTCAACTAACCTTTGTCTATATGTTTCTATTTCCTTAATATTTCCAGCAGCAAATGAATCAACACAGTGAAGACATTTTTAATATATGGTAAATTGATCTTTAACAAGGTTGTTCCAATTTTTATTTCCAGTGGAAATATGCCTAATCTCTTTTCTATAATTCTCAAAGATTCCAGTTATTATTTCACTTTATCAATTTTAGTGTCAAAATCTCAATTTTTAATTCCTATTTCTTTTTTTTTTTTTTTTTTTTTATTGGGTCTCCTAGTAGGTTTTTTTTTTCCCCCGTCCATTCTTTCTTTCTTTCTTTTTTTTTTTTTTTAAATATTAAATTTTATTTTTATATTCCCCCATACAATTGCAAACGCCCCATTCTGACCCCAATCCTTCCACTCCCGCCCTAAAGTTGTTCATTTTTAAAAATAATCTATATGCCATTTTATCTTCATAGATATGAAAAATTTCAATTTCACTTTGTAATTTCCTTACCCAGTAGCAAAGAATCTACATTCTTGGCTGGACTTCAGGTCCTTCTGATTTGGAATTAACCCCTATTTCCTGTCTTTAATGTCCCAAATTATGCCTGGCTTCATTCTATACAGTATTTGTGTTAGCAACAGAAAACTGATGATGATGGTGAAATAACAATAACAATTCTACTTATTTTGCATCATGCATGGATAATAATCAGAAAATATTAACAGTAGCAAATACACACACACACTTTTAAGGCACCAATGTAAGGGCTTTACCACCTTATCTCTTTTGTCTCAAAACTTTTGTACAATAGGTACTTTGGTTCTCATTTTAAAACAAGGAAACCATTGCTCAGAGAAGTTAAGAAATGAGTCCAGGGTCACATTTGGCATAAGTAATGAAGCCAGGACTTTGTCCACACCTCACTCCACAAGACCTATACTTTTATCACTGTCCTGTAGTACCTTCCATGACTAGTTTTCCCAGGATCAACACAGGAAGGTCAGGAGTAAAGATTTCTCCATTTAGAGACAATTTTAAATTCCAGTTCAGCCAATTTCTAGTTGGGTAACTTGGGGGTAATTATTTAATCTCTGTAATCTTCTATAAAATGAGGATAATAATTCCTCCCTCATGGAGTTATCTCCAGGATTAAATAAGAAAATCCACAGTGCTTAGCACATAGTCAATGACTAATTAACAGTAACTCTTATAATTGCTACAGTTTTATTGGCTTCATTATACTTTTTCTCCATACAAAATGCCTATTCATTTCACTTGTAGATTGTATACCCACAGCACACCAATTTCAGGTTCCAGAATCCATTTTGTCCTGGTTTGTATACAGTAACAGGGGAGTCTTGCAGAAAGAACAGGAAAACAAAACTTACTTGAGAAACAGCATCCCCAAAATACTCAGAGGATATTACAAGTGTGGCATCCTTCCTGGATCTCTTATTTTGTCTACCCTCAGTTTTTGTTAAGGAGTAATTTCTCTCCTGATGATAATAATATCAGCTGATTCCCAGCGACAGACAACAAGCCAACATTCTGCCAAATGAAAGAACTCTCCCCTCTCAGTGACCATTGCTTTTCTTTCTCACAAGCTTTTATCTCCTTCACCCTACTGGCCAGAGCCATAATTTACAGCCTGATGGCTCAGCAGGAGTGCTTGCTTTGGGACCTCAGAGCTGGCTCTGCCTGTGGGCTCCCTGATAGGGAGGTCCTGGAACAATCTATCTCTGCTGCCACGTTGTGACACCTGACAACAGTACTGCCCTTTCATTCCCACCCCCTTTCTCTCTCTCTCTCTCTCTCTCTCTCTCTCTCTCTCTCTCTCTCACATACACACACACACACACACACACACACACACACACACACACACCCCAGTAGCAAAGAATCTACGTTCTTGGCTGGACTTCAGGTCCTTCTGATTTGAAATTAACTCCTATTTCCTGTCTTTAACCGCCCAAATTGTGGCTGGTCTCCCTCTCTCTCCCCTTTCTCTCTCCCTTTCTCCCTCTCGTCCTCTTGATAAGGTTGTTCAGTTTTAAAAATAATCTATATAGCCTTTTTATCTTCATAGATATGAAAATTCAATTTCACTTTGTGAAATCCCCTAAAGCTTAGTTTATTACTTCCAAGAGAACTATGCATGTAAGCATCTCACCAGGGAATGTACCACTCAGTCTTCATTTATTTAAGGGGGGAAGCACCTCCAACAGTCATTGTTTAATTCCCAGAAGGGGTTTGACCCCTGAATGCAGAAGGGGTTTGACCCCCAATCTGGCCACCAGGAAAGAGGGTCCATTTCCCTGATCGGCTTTGCTGTCCCAGCACTCCACCTACATTCTAGACAAAGCTGTGCATCTGCTTACAGTTGACCTAAGAAAGAAAAGTAGGGTCCTTGTTTCAATTTGATTTGACCAATTCCCTTACCATTAATTCCTGTTTTAGCAAATCTGGATCAGAAGGTAATTGGGGAAGTTACTGGTGTCATAAATAGTCATCAAAGCAGAAGAGAAAGTAAAGATTCCAGTTTTCTGGGGCTAGGGCAGAAGAGGGGAGGCAGAGCATTGTTTCAGAGGAAAATCAAGAAGAGCAAAGCTAATCTCCACCTTGCATGCACTCGTTTCTTCAGGTCCCTCTCCTCACCCTCAGGGTAGGGCACAATACATCACTTCTATCTGAGTTTGCTTGGTCTAGGGACATCTCTCTAATACCAGTCCAACAGAAATGTATCTGGAATTTTTCACTATTTCTCACGTGCCTCCTGCCACCCACAATTATGTGTAAACTTTGTCAAAGGTCATGAGTAAGAAAGCAGAAAGGAAAAGTCAAGAAAATAAAACCCAACAGAAGCAATTTGATTTGAAAACTACCCTGGAATAAGCAATTTACCCAGTCATTATATATGCAACACTGCTATATGCAAATCACATGCAAATATAAGCACCACCCTCCATAGGGATTGCCTTTACTTTGTTTTCTCTGGCTTCTAAAGCAAATCCAATTTGAAAATGAAAATAGAAAATTACCCTGTGGTGGGATAACATTTGTTTATGCATCTCAGCACCTCTGCCAATAACCCCAGCAGTACCCATAAACCTAAAGTGCTTTGTGCATGCTGAAGAACTGTGTGCACTGACATTGTGAGAGACAAAACTGGTAAAGTTATAAGGGTATGCCCATCCGTGTCTGCATGGACCTGAGAAAGTGAGTGACCCCTCCTCCAGGAAGCTTTCCTAGTTTAGCCATCCTTTCTACTTCAGGGGACTATAGAATGAGTTCAGTTCCCTCTTCTCTATGTTCCCAGCTTACTATTGCTTAATAAATGTGTACTGACTGCATGAAGGAGCTGGCACAGAAATAACAACTGGCACAGCAAAATTCACAGACTGGCCAGTCATACAAGACCACAATTGACTAAAATTTAGACATGCATTTCATTACCTGTTAACTTCAGGAATGTTTCCTCACCGTCATCCCTGCCCCAGGTATTTTTAGAACAAAACAACAAAAATAAAGGAAGAAGACTGCCAGCAAAAAGGGGGTGGTATTAATATTCTGAATAAGACTGTGAGGAATTGTAAAGTTGGATCCCCCCACAAACATGTGTTCCCTGCCCCTAAACCAGAACACCACACAAAGTCACTGCACTTACTTTTATTTCAAAAAAAAAAAAAAAAAAACCATAAAGATTTAAAGAAAAAAACCTTTACTTTGATTTGTAGTTTAACTTTGATTTCTACCTTGGAGAAGCGACCCCAGACTTACCAAGGCTGGAAAGAACCAGAAGAAGAGATTGCTGTTGTAAGTCTTATTCACAGTGATGTAGCCAGCGTAACTCTTTATATTCGATCCAGGAAAAGGAGCAACCAAACTCAAATGTTTCCCTAGTGAGTTTAAAAAAAAATTGAACCAAGGATTAGAGAAATAATCAAGTGCTAGCTGTCTCCAATCTCAGCCAGACTCCTCCTCCCCAGGGCCAGGTCTGGGATGGGGCCATCAGAAAGGCTACGTGGTTAGTGGCACAAAGACATTTGCTGTAGCAATTCCAGCCTGCCCTGGCCAATTCCATATTTGTTGTTCACAAGTTAGCCAAGGATCAGAGACATTTTTTAAAGCATTTTATTTTTGGTCTCCAAATATATTTTATGAGCTTATAAGATTATTATTTTTTTTTTAGAAGGAAAATCACCTATTTAGCTTCACTCTAAAAAGTAAGCCAAGTATCCACACTGGTCACTTGGAAGGCCAGAGAAGGATATAGTCACCTGACCCCCAAAGATAGGGTCAATAGAAACAATATAGCTAAGCAGTTCTCAGCCCTGGGGAGCCGTGTGTTAGCCACACTCTAGTTTTCATGAAAGTGAAAGGCCTAGACCATCCATGATGGGAAAATGAAGCATATAGGGAATAGCTGGGGGAACCTCATATGGAGCCAAATAGGACAATGCAACAGCTGTAGAGTGCTGAGGTCTTGCCTTTCTTATTGCACCAAAAGGACAGGGACAGTGACGGGGAGGGGGAAAAAGGGACTGCTCAGACAGCTGAGGCCCCACGAGAATAAATATACTAATAGGAGCACATACTTGAGAGGTCACTATGCCAAAGACCTTACGTTATACAGTAATATAATTATGGTTGCCACTTTACAGATGAGAAAACAAGCACAGAGAGGTTCAATCACTTCTACAAGGTTATACAGCTAAAAGGACTGCTGGGATTTATTTATTTTAAATATTTTATTTATTTATGCATACGAGAACTGGGGTTTAGGCCAGAGGTACAGGGGGTGAGAGGATTCCCCAGAGACAGAGTCGGGGAGCAGAACAGGCGGATCTACTGAAATATGCTGCTGAGGGGAGTAGCAGGCGAGACAGGAGAGGCTCCCCAGCCGGGGATCGAGCTCATGCCTCAGTGGCTGGCTGTAGCATGATAGGGCTGAGGCTTTACACCCTGCACCACCAGGGAGGCCTAGCAGTATGCTGAAGAGTTTGCACTTCCCTTATCCTCCTGCGCTGCTTCTCAACTGGAGGTCAGGTCTGATAGTGAAGGTGGCAGGGATTGAGGGGGGCAGGGGTTAGGAAAGGAGTAGAGAAGGAACAGAAAATAGGCAGCAGGGTGTGTTGGGGAAGTGAAGGGGAAGTGTGGGTCGAGAAGAATGATTTAGTAGTGACAAAACAAATGTCCCCATTAAAAAGTAATCATGTGAGAAATGCTATTAAGTCTGAGACATGTTAAGCTGGAGAAGGGTTAGGAGCAAGAATAGGTGCAGAGACTTCATCCTTTACACAGACCATGGGTTGAAGATGCCATCAGTGGGCACTGGAGCCCCCGGGCTGTGGAATGCTGCTCGGTAGCCTCTCTTCCCAACTTGGCATTCAACCACATCACTGACAGGGTGCAATACCACAGTGAGAATATTTACCCTAAGGGGCCGGGGCAACCAGTCGGGGCCCAAAACTCAGAGCTGGTTGTTGACCTTTAAGTGGCAAAGGACTTCAGACTCCATGTCCTTTCACAAAGTGAATCTTCCCTCCCAAAGGGAAGTTGTCATAAGACCACACTGTTCCCCTTCTATATTGCTCTGCTGATCCTAGCACTTCTTCTGCCCTGCTCTGTGACCTTGGGGCAATCATTCAGCTTCTTTGTGTGCCAGTTTCTCATGTATAGAGGGTGGACTATCTTAGGAGCCCACATATGTAAAACCTGTAGGAAAGAACTGGGGAGCACTGCAGTTGTCATTTGTAAAGTGCATCACTCATTACGAACAGAGAGCACCTGGGAGCAAAGGACATGGTAGGGACAAAGGAAAGTTCTTCAGGGGCTATTTCCAGAGGGTCCTGCTAGGCTAGCACATTAGAAAGAATGTGGGTTTCTACTGGACAAACTTGAGTTTGCAATTCTGGAAAGGTTCCCTAGCAAGTGGCTTAATCTCTCTGAGCCTCTTTGTTCTTTTGTGCAAAATATGGATACAGATTTCCCCCATCCTAGGCTTTCTATGAGAAACAAATGAAAACATCCATAGGAACCCATAGCACAGAGCTGGACATAATGATCAGGCAGTGGGAGGAAGATTATTATTAGCCTGTGGCCACCCCAAGTACAGTCTGGAGGTCTAGAAGAATTTGCCTTTTTCTGACTCACTCCAGTTCCCCAAAGAAAGACTGCATAATCCTACCCCTCTAGTTCTTCCCATTCTCTTCCCAGACCTATCCCTCCCTGTCAGAAAAAAGGGAAAGAAAGAGGATTTTAGCAGAAGAGAAGGAATGTGTTCGGGGGAAAAGTGGGGCATGCCAACCGTACCCTGAACCCCTGCCCTTCCCTCCAGCAACCATGCTACCCCTCGACCCTTCTTTGCTTCCACTCTGAATTAGCCCAAAGAAGGATCACTCTTCAGGGCTGGGCAGCCTTTAAAATACTTCTGGAGGGAACTCCCTGGTGGCGCAAGGGGTTAAGCATCACACTATGAAGCAATCTGCAGCCTCTGCAGCACGAGTTCGATCCCCGGCCAGGGAGCTACCCACATGGCCCAGCAGACCTCTCCTGACTCACCCGCTGCTCTCCTCAGCAGTGTACTTTGGTCATTCTGCCTGTTCTGTTCCCCACTCTGTCTCTGGTGAATCCTCTCACCCCCCACCCTCGCATCTCTGGCCTGCACCCCAGCTCTTGTATGCATAAATAAATATTTTTTTAAAAAGATATTTTTAAAAAAATTAATACTTCTGGAATTTGTTTTGCAAATCTCCTTAAAATCAAAGATTCCACCGTCCGCTAAAATAAGGGTTTGAAGCTAGTGAAGATAAGTGAAAACTGAGGGGTCAGAGCTGAGTATGAATCACAGAAGGCTGAGGGGTGGGAAAGCATTCAAGAAATAAGACAGAGAACAATGAGAACAATCAAAGTAGAATGAGAAAAAGAAACATAAAGAAGCTGGAAGGAATAGAATATGGGAGAGGAATGATTTGATAACTCTATTTCTCCAAGGCCAGTACAGCACAAGATCTGCTAGCCTCCCTTCTTAAAGGTCTGAGCTGTTCTGTTACCTTGTATTTATTTGGGTACATATTCTATCTTCCTTTCTAGATCAGGGGCTACTGAAAAGCAGGAATTTGCATCACTTATCTGTACTTGGGTGAACAAAGCACTCTGATTTATACAGGTAAGGCATTTCCACAGATTCTTGTTAATGAATCAATGTTAATGAGTGGATGAATGAATGAATGCACTGAAATAGGACACCCTATTAATGCACTACTATTAGCTTATTTCTACAAAGACCTTCTAAGGAAGACAGGCCTTATTACATCTTAAGAAACTTTAAAATCGTATCTCTGGACCACAGAAAAGTGTTCTACCCTGTTGCAAATTTTTAATTTCCTTCAGCTAAATCACAGTAAAATAATTAAAAGGTTTTTCAACTAGAATGATTTTTTGTATTTTCAAATGTTCTGTTCATCCTTCCAGAATCTATTCATGGAATGTGGAAAATAAACTCCCAAGATGTAGGAGTTTCTTTCCTCCTGTAACTATGACTCACAGTGCAAATGTTTGAAACAGTTAAAAAAAGGAAAAGGGTTCTTTGAAGTGATTTCACTTCCTCCTTGTTATTTACTGCTACCAGTGCTTGTGATATTAACACTTTCAAAAGATTGGAGGATGACCAAAAGGCTGGAACTAGCTCATTAGGGTGCACTTCAGATCTGCAAAGACATGGGTATTATCAGTATGGAAAAGGCTCCCCCAGATCCTAAGCAAAAATAAATTAAGGCCTAACAACAAAATATTTAAAGTTTGTGAAAATGCCACATTTATAAACATGCTAACATTTGCCTTCTATATTCAATATCTGTTTCAGAGTAAAAATTTATTCTAGCTGCAGAGAAAGTAAACATGCAATTACAATTACACAAAACTAAACCAACTAATTGAGGATTAAAAAACAAAAATTTCCCTTGTCTTTTTTGTGAATTATTGTTTATCTCAAAAATGTTCCATTGCAATATTGAGACTCACATTCCTAAGCTTTTGACAGACTTGATAAACAAAAGGGATTTAGGGGAGGGAGATGACCATCTGTCCAGAGCTTCCTGAACTTTCAGTAAAGCGGATGAATAAAATTGTTCTTAATTATGTTGTCAGGATTGCATTTGAATACCCAGATGTACCAGATTCTGGATAAGCCACTTAAAATTCTGTTCAAAGACTTTGCCTGTGTAAGAGAACTTTAGAAAGTGACATTACATCAGCTGTAATATTTTAAATGCTGTCACTCATCAGATAGTGATCTATCAGGCTTGGCACAAAAGGACAGGAGATAAAACTACCTGCCTCTCAATCTTTCTTTGCTACTGTTGACAATCATGGTAATGAGATGCTTGTAGGCAAGAAATACAGGAATGGGAGGTCCATGGACAATCTCTCCAGTGGATCTTCCTATATCTTTTTACTTGGCCCCATCAGATATGTAATACAGACACATATGCCCTGGTTACTTTTACTTAGTGTCTTGTTTGAGTTGGTTTTCTTGCTCAGTGTGCACACAGGCCATTTTGTATTTACCTAAATATTACTTAACTTCCTCAAGCCTGGCCCTGGTCACATAGCACAGTGGTTTAGACTTGGGGCTCTGGAGTCAGCAGAAAGAAATTTTGATTCCAGCTCTTCCACTTACTAGCTCTAAACAGCTCTCAGCAAGATACTTAAGATCTGTAAGCCTCAGTTTTTCCCATCTGTAAATGGGAATCAATAATTATTCCTGCTTCATTAGAGTTGCTCTGGGGATTAAATGAGCTAATGTTTGTGTACAGCACAATGCCTGTACATACTTAAGTCTCAAATTTAAGTTCTACAAATATTTATTGAGTGCCTATTACATACAGGGACTGTGCTAGGTATTATATCCCCTGTGCTAGGTACAGGGCATATAATTACTAATGATAGCTATTTATTATTTTCAATATTGCTATTACTATTCTTCCCCTGGATTATGTCAACCAACAGAGATAGTTTCCTTCTAAAAATTGCAACATGGCTACCTCAAATGTAATACTTTGGCACTTTATCACACACAGTATTATTCTTTAATTGTTTTATGTATGTGATTTAGTCATTCCTGAAGAGCACAATCTTCTTACACCAAAGGAAACAAACTTTAGCAGGCAGATTACAGACAAGTCAAAAACTTTGGTTTCTACTCAGCAAGTCCACTCCTGGGAATCTACCTTAAGGACACAAAAATAATAATTTGAAAAGAAACCTGCACTCCTATGTTAACTGCAGCACTGTTTATAATAGCTGAGATATGGAAACAACCCAAATGCCCAAAAAGAGATGAATGGATCAAGAAGATGTGGTATATATTACACAATGGAATACTATTCCACAATCAAAATAGATAAACTCCAACTCCTGCCATTCGCAGCAACATGGATAGAGCTAGCAGAGATTATGCTCAGTGAAATAAGTCAGAAGGAAAAATAAAAATATCAGATGGTTTCACTTATAGGAGGAACACAGGGAAACTGAACAAATAATCAAAAAGAAAGATATAACTTTCAGCAAACCATAGATGCGAGGCATACAGCAAGGGAGGGGGAAGAAGACGGGTCAAAACAGGAGAGGGAAGAGCACAGGGAATATAGTTATGTTTCACAGGTGCTATCGTGGTTGGTGATTTACAGGACTACACCTGAGCAGAGAAATCAAATATCGTACAGAAATGAACAAGACTATAAGAAAATTAAAAAGTTTAAAGATCCCTCCTGACCTCATAGCTCCCTCCAGCCACCACCTCATTTCTCAGCTTCCCTTTACTAACAGCTCCTCAGAATAGCTACCTATACATACTATTTCATAGTTCAGAGTCCAGCTGAGGCCCAGGAAGATTAATTTATCTTTTACCTAAGCATGAAGAAGCATTAAGAGCAAAGGCAGGTCATAAATGTTAATCTCTGATAACATCAAATGACCTTTTATTATTATTAATAATAATAGAAAAATCCCACAATCTCTAACTAAAAGACATTTTCAAACACTAACATTAAGAAAACAATTTGCAGCTCATATAGCATCTTCATGTGCATTTTCTCATCTGATTTGCGTAACATTCGTGTGACTTGGATAGGTTATTATAACTCCATCTTTTCCATGGGGAAACTGAGGCCTAGGATATTTGGTGCCTAGAGTAAGGCTGCCTGGATATGAATCCATTATCTACTAGCTGGTGTCTGTATAATTCTGACAAGTAACTTCATCTTTCTATTTTAGTTTTCTTGTGTTTAAACTAAGTAAACCTCTCTGGATTGTTGAGATGCTTAAAGTGAGTGCATGTAGAATACTTGGAACCAGTAACTGGCATGTAGCAAGTGGTTGTGAGCAAGCACGATACTGGCTTTATAAAGAGAAATTCAGGAATTCATACACATTGATTTCCTGGTCCTCATGAACTCTCATTTTGGCTCAAAACTCTGATAATATGTGACATCTAATCATATGAATTTAAAATAAAACAATTTAGTAAAATACCAGAAAGTATTTTGGATCCTAAGGGATAATTGGAAAAAAAAAACGAAACAAAACTGTTGAAAGCATGTTAGGGGTTTTCTGATTTAATCAAACTTACCTTCTGTGAATTTTCCAGCTTCAATATAAGGAGTAAGAAATAATGGCTGTCCTGCATCTCCCTCAACTGGTGCAGAAACCTTGACATTTTTGTATATGGAGCGAAACAGCCCATCGCAACCCGGGCTTAGTGTGAACAGGATCAGCAAAACAATCACGTTCCACATGGCACCAATGGTCCGCTCTAGGCCTAGGATGACAAGAATAACATTCCACAAATGAATCCAAGGAGTAAGTGAATAAATATTTATCTAATCCTTATACATGTAAGATATTTATTATATACACACACACACATAGAGTTTGTAAAAGCCCTTTGCTAAGCTTCTTGGATGCCACCTGAATAAGAGCAGCTAATCCCTGTTGACCCTGAAGTTAATGGTCTAGTGTGGAGCTCTTCAAGAGATTTACAGTATAACTGGAGAAACAACATGAATTTCTATAACTCTGGTCTGGAAAGTAAATTCCATGCAGATGAGCTAAACCCTCAAGACAACAGGATTCTAATTGGTCACCAAACGAGTGGTAAAAGCAGTTATTCCATTGTCAGAGAGCAAAGGATTTAAAACACTTATCAGGCTGAGAGAATCTGGAAGGTCTTGTCCAGGTGGGATGCGGAGGAAAGGTGCGGGAACTCAGGTAGGCAGGGGAAGTATGGAGCGGTCACTGGTGGGGGACCAGCTTGAACAAAAGGGGAATTTAGTTGTCTCCCTGGGCATTTTGCAGGAGGATTTAAAAAAGGCAACATGAATTTCTAGCAACCACTTCTATCTCCTACAAATCACCAAACTTAGCAAAAAAGAGAGAAGAATGGTGATAGATGGCATCTAGAGTTTAAATTGTGATCACAATGTAATATATACAGATGCCAAATTATAAAGCTATACATCTAAAGTTTATAACATTATAAGCCAATGTTACTGCAAGAAAAAAATAGTTTCAAAAAAAGTGATGAGGAAAAAAAGTAAAGGAAGAAAGGGAGGGTCCTACAACTATCTTTAGATTCTTACCCCTAGAGCTAGCTGATAAATAAACTTTTTAAGAATTAGGCATCAAAACTTTACTAGCATAAAAATCACCAAGAATGTTCAAATTTGTTACATGCTTAGAATGTTCATGTGGACTAATAGTAATAATGAATTAAGACTGTATGGGGATTTAACTAAATCTAAATTGTATTCATGATGGACTTTCCCATATATTTTCAGCTAATTTGAATATTCAAATAACCATGAATTTGAGGATCATTCTGACCAACTTAGACAAGAAAAACTTGGCTCAAAGGAATATCTTATCCAAAGTCAGTCAGGGTCAGGACTAAGGTAAAGTGAGGCAGTGACAGATGCAAAGTCAGATCTTATGTTTTTCTAATATTTTGACATTTTGTTCACCATGGGTTTTTCACATTCATGATGACTTTTTTTCATTTATGCCATGAAAATACTATTTATCCAGTAATTGAGTCATTTGGCACTCTTAAGTTTTATACCTGCAGCAAATGCCTCACTTGTTTCACCTTCATCCTGACCCTGGTAAGTGCTATGCCTCCATCACTGCTGTTACATTATCTGGCTATTTGCACAGGGTCCAGGTTTTTAGCTCTAAGTAAATGCTTCTTTAACTCAGATTTCTAGATGCAAAAGACATACATAACTATGAAAACTTAATGCCTACTTTTGACTGTTCAGTGATTTAAAATGCCAAACCACTAAAACTTCTTAAAAACACAAAATGTGTAAAAATCTATTAAGCACATATTTATCACAACCCAATTTGACATATGAAAATATTGGTCAGGCAAATTTTAAAAATTCTTCAGCCACTTTTCCCCAACAAGATCAAAGTTTATAACTATAGTTTGTCTGCATCTATAATCTTTGTCAAGGCTGTCATGATTTATTTAATACAATATCCTCTACAATGTAAATATGTCCAACCCAAATCAGCATATAACTAAATACTGCTTTTGCCTCTTATCGACTATAATAAGGGGGGAAAATACTGAAACTGAAATTAAGTTTCAAAGAAGCCCAGAGTAAAGAGCACTATGACACTGAAAAAACGTTTTTTTAAAATTATGTGAACTTGTTATTACTGGTGTTTTAATAACATTGCCACTTTCAAGGAATGTGTGGAATCAACAACTTACTCTCTGGTTTGGGGGTGGGGAGGGAAATCTGTGGTATAAAAAAACTACTAGAAGCTCTTCCAGTAAGAGGTTCTTTCCTGGGGCAGAAACAAGAAAGTAATCATGCCTTCTAATTTCTCAATCTTCTTGCTGCAAACCTCCAGCCTCTTTTAATGGAAGTCATTAATATTTAAATAACCAGAGTAGTTACAGCACTTCCCTTGTAAGCAGATGTTGACTCTAAGATGTTAAAGAAAGAGGTAAAAGTGGTCTTACATTAATTGACATAAATCTAATACATAAAAGTAAGAGTTGGGTCAATTTAGTAGATCTCATTAACATTTAATCAAATAACTATGAGAGTCACAGTTTCTCATGTAGGTGAATTACAGCAACAACATCCTTAATTCACAGTTTTCATTTAACAGTCAGAATTCCTCAGCTGTGCTCAGCTGTCTTCCCTCCTAATGAAAATGAAAGCTATTAACATGAATCAAAAAGTGTTTCTTTTTCTTAACATCCTCTCAGATGTTTTTGCTCATCCAAAATTAGCCCAAATCTTTTTATTTATTGAACATTTATTAACTAATCAACAAGAAGTTATTGCCTATAGAAAATGAAAAAAGTTATTAACCATACTCTTTATCACACTTGAAATAATATGAAACTATTCAATGCTATTTTCAGTTCAAATATATCATATTGAAGTATCCAGGCAAACTGTTCCTCATAATAAATGCTTAGAAACATAATAAAATCTAGGCAAATACAAAGCAATATTGGCAGAATCAAATAACCTACAGGTCAAAAATACATGATTTGCTAAAATTATCTTACTAAACCTTAAATATTAGCACTGAAAACAATGTACAATTTCTTTATATAAACATAACTACTTATCACAGTGCTTTTTTGGAATAATTAAAACTTTCAACAATTTAAACAATTTAAGATAAATAAGTTACTGACACCAAAAAGATGGAATTATACACAGCAATTAAAATGACTCTGCTAAAAATATTTTAGAAAATATACTGAAATGTTAGGTAAAGCAAAGCAGTCTAGTAAAATGAATATAAGACATTTTCTCCTTATTTCATCCTTAAGAATTTCTACATATTCTACAATGATCAATCTTATAATCAGAAAAAAACAGTTTGGATTTTGTTTTTTTAAAAAACAAACTGAAGCAGCTGATAGACATGGCAAAAAAATGCTTGTTCCTTATTCCTTATTACTACCTGGTTATGACCTCTTGCGTTTCCTAGGAATAAGGATTCTGTTTGTTCTCTCAGAATAGGTTGTTCTTTCTCTAACATTCTATGAAGATCGGTCCTGGTCTCCTAAAGCCATAGAACCTCAGAGACTCAATGTAAATTTTTGCTGGTATATTAGAAGGCTCTACAAAAATGTGAGGTGTTGCTTAATAACAATTATCATTATATTTGTTTTCATTCTTCCTCGAGTAGAGTATATAACAAATGTGCACATAATTAGTACTAACTAAATTTTTGTTGAACTAATACATCTAAATAATGAATCATGATATTGTAGACCTATTCTAGGTATTAGCTATGCCTGTGGCCCAATTTCTGGCTCTTACAAACTAGAAAATCGAGCACACAAAGAAGTGACTAACTTTATTGTACCAATGGTGAATGGGCAGTAGAGCCAAGACTCAAAGCCAGAATTTATTTATGGCTCTAAATTGAATCTGTTTTCCACCCTCCTATCTTTGGTTATAGTTTTATTTGAATATTCTGACTCTTACTATCACAGTAGGAAATAACAGCCTTTAATAGTCCTAAACTCCTTTCAAAGATCATGTGAGGACACAATAAAATAAATAATAATAAACAAAAGGAAATATTAATAAGTAAATCTTTCTAGAGAATTTGGTTGTTAGGAATAGTTCATGCAAATGCAGATTCTGCCTCAGCTCAGTCAGTGGACCTAGGGTAACAGAGAAAGATCTCCTGGTCCCAGTGGGCAGGAATTTTGAGAGTCAGTTGTTCAACACAGCCACTGTTAAAAATTAAACTATAAAAATTTGCCATTAAATAAGTTTATATGAAGAAACAGAAGTAAATACTCAAACTCATCACTTCTAATTATTTTATTACATTTTACTATTATGTATACTCTGGACTTTGCTAGTCTGGTGAACAGATTATATAGTGATTTGTTACTCTACATATTTTCCAAAACTGTGTTCAATAACATCTTGCTGACAGCTTTGGATCACTTATGGTGGGAATATTTACACCATAGAAATGGGGAAATACTACACCAGGGTTCTTTTCCCCTAGCTAGCGAGCTGACTGTTTAACAGTTACCTGCACATGTTTGTCTCATGTTTCTTATTTGAAACATGAACTGGAAATAATCTTCATCAATTCACACTCCAATTCCTATTTAATTTATCAGTGAAAGAGAGAAAAAGAGAAAATCTTGCCAAGATGTCATCCATGTGTTAAAGTAACCAGTAACATGCCCAGATAAGCAAGTCCTCGGGAAAAGGAACATGAAAACCATTGGAACACATATGTTCCATCAATGAAAAAAAGAATCAAAACCAAAACTCCAGAATAAGAGTGAAAAACAACCTTTCATCTTTTCTATGTTCTCTGCTTTCTTTCCTACCTCTCTGTTTTATATTATAAATTATTCCAATACAAGGCTAAAAACTATTCATATAAGAAATGTTAACACCGTAATTAAAATAGCTACTTGAATTCCCGTTACATATTTAACTGACTTTAACAGCTCCCAACATAAAACATCCCCCCAAATAAAATCAGGCCAAGTAGTAACAGACAATTCCATGAAATCTGTAATAAAAGAAAGGTACAAGAGAGTGGTTCCTCTATTTGAAAAGGATTTAGTCACCTCTAAAGATTATTTAAGCATAGCCAAAGCACTTGTATACTGTAATTAAAGACTATTGTACAACACTGAATACCACCCAAAATTAAAAATCTAGCTATTTTGTTAAAGGATTTCCATGCAAACAAATGGTAAAGAAAGAAAAAAAAAAAACCACTTTTATTTTGAGGGATTCCCTATTCATCTTTCTTAAGATATCATTTTAATTTCTAAAATTGATATTTGAAGGGCTCTTTTCCCAAAGAGGATATAGTACATAACACACAAGGTAAAGGGCAACCTTTTGCTAAAGTGGCACTGAGACTTACATGCCTATCTCCATTTTACAGGCTGCCCCCTGGCATCAGATGGTAGTGTCTAATCTTGCTAATGAATTAGTTTTCCCTATCTCTGCCACCATATCCTTGGACTACAGAAAACAGAGACAAGCTGGAGTCACGTGATATAGGTAGAGAAAGAAAAGAATCAGCAAAAGCAGAAAATATCATGTAACACTATGGTGGGGAGTTGTACCTTGAAATCTCACTCCAACAAGAAGGAAACTTTGAGTGCGCAGTAAAAAGTACATGTCCCAAAAATAGAAGGAACATTTCTATGATCAAAGGCATCATAATGATCATAATGCCAGTAATAGTTACATCTGCCAATAATTGTAAGCTCCCTATGTACAAGGAACTGTGCTAAATGCTTTATAGTTTCATTTCTTACTTTGTCAGGAAGATACTATTATTATACAATTTTTAAAAATGAAAAATTGATCCTCTAGGTTCACATGGCTAGTAAGTGATAAAGCAAGGATTTGAGGGCAGTCCTAGGCAATCTCCACAGACCATGCTCTAATTCCAATACCAGCACCTCCTAGAATGTGCTTTGTGGGCCAGGGCCTTTCCTACCTATTCGAGTAAGTTAGGAAGTCTCACATACTATATCCCCACAAAATTATGTTGCTGAGAAGCTCATCTATAAATAAACCTGTTAAAACTTTTGCCCAATATTTCCCAAACTAACAATATTTGATCAGGAAAGGCTTTTTTATCTTTGTGCAAGATCTAAAAATATCATGGAATACACACTGTGGTTTTTATTCATTCAACAAAATATGTTGGAAGAACATCTATGTCTTAGGCCCATCCTCCTCCATATGCCCTCAGAAAAGTATTTGGGCTAATGGTGACCAGGAAATACATCCCTGGGTGGAGTCAGCCTTGAGGAAGCAGTGCAAAGGGCCTGAGGTACAAACTGGCTTTGTTTGTTGATAGTGATTAGTGCACAGTGAAGGAAGGAAGAAGAGGCACATGAAGACTTTGGAGGGTAGAGGGACCAACATGGTTGAGTCTTAGCTGTATTCATATGTATTTGCATCTTAATCTATTTGCATCTGGAAACCATTGAAGACTTTTATGTAAGGGAATAATATGGTTTGATCAGAAATGGGGAATATGAAATGACTGTAATTTAGCAAGCAGACATGAGGAGAATAGGATAGAACCAGGATATCAATTAGGAAGTAGATGGAATTATCCAGGAGAGAGAGCAGAAACTGAGGCCTGGGGGTAACAGTAGGGATAGAGAGAAGTGGTAAGCTACATTTTGAAGGCAGACTGATGAGTATTTGTTAGTAGTCTGGATACGATGCATAAGTGTGCTGAAATTGCAAGTGATTTAAGGGCATATTTATCTTCAAAGAAGTGAAAAATCATCTGCTCAGAGATTGCCTCATAATGAATTTCTGGTGTACTTCCTTTCGTTTGGGAAATAATTCCTGGGAGTTGGTAAAGTTATTAGTTCTTTAAGACTAACATCTCATCACTACAGCTGTGTCTTCCACAGAGAAATTATTGTTTTTGCTGAAGTAAATGTAGCCCTATTCTTTTTAAGATCAGCTTTCTTTTTGCTACCCTCTATGACTAAATTTTTTAAATAAAAAGTTAGGATACACATTGTAACAAGGGTAAGATCAGGCAAAGTGGATGAGAACATTTTTTATGAGATTTTGAGATTCTATAGTGTGGCCACCTTAACAATCACTCCTTGGGGTGACATGAAATTCCTCCCTGGTTCCAAAAGAGTTATTGGTATTACTGAAAGAAATTCCATGTGCTACTCCCTTTTAGTTTTTTTTTTTAAATATTTATTTATTTATGCATATAAGAGCTGGGGTTTAGGCCAGAGGTATGGGGGTGGGGTGGTGAGAGGATTCATCAGAGACAGAGTGGGGAACAGAACAGGCAAACTGACCGAAGTACACTGCTGAGGGGAGCAGCGGGCAAGTCAGGAGAGGTCTGCTGTGCCATGTGGGCAACTGCTCCCTGGCCTGCTGGGGAATCAAACTCAAGTTGGAGAGGCTGCAGACAGCTTCATAGGTTGCATCTTAACCCCTTGCACCACCAGAGAGGCCCCTACTCCCTTTTATTACTCTAGTACTTTTCTCAGCTTTCTCTATACATTATCTTATTTGATTTTTACCACCACTCTTGAAATGAGCTCAAGCACCTATTCCATGAGGCTCATGTTGATGGTGCAACTTCCCAAAAAATGAATGACACTAATCAGTAGAAGAGCTGAGACTGACTCCAAGTTCACAAGACCATTCACCCACTCAATAAACATATCTTTAGCTCCTGCTATGTGCCAGACACCAATTAGAGACCACAATGCCTGCCTTCATGAAGCTTACTATTTAGAGGGGAAGCAAGAGGGCCTCCCTTGTGGCCTAGGGGTTAAGTCTCAGCACAATCATCGCTATGGCCTGAGTTTGATCCTGGGCCAGGGAGATGATCCACATGGTGTAGCAGATCTCTCCTGTCTCACCTGCTGTTCCCCTTCTACACTTTTGCTCACTCCTCTGGGTTTGGGTAAGAGGTGGGAAGATTTAGCTGATGGATAAATTTGGGGAATAGGGCTCAACTCGCTCACTGTTCCCACAAGAGTAGTACTTTTCTCTCTCCACTCAATGTGGGCCAGTGAATGGCAGGGCAAGTCTGCTCAACTCTGGGCTTCATGCATTGCAAGTTCATTCACCTGGAAGTAAAAGCCAATCCAAGCCAAACTCTCTCAGTAACAACTGTGATATTTTGCTACCTGCCTGGCTCTTTGTTTTCTCAAATTTCTCCAGAGCTCAGGCTAAGGGAAGATATTTGCTATTTTGGGGGTTCCCTCAGAAACCTCAACAGAATAGGATTTTAGTTTCATTCTTAATAAGCTGGAATTCCCCCCACCACTGTACCTCACCCTATGATCCTGCAAATATTTCATCATATAAGAAATAGAAAAAAAGCCATAGTTAAAAGACTCAGCTCCACCCACATCTCAGAATTGGACACCAATCCACAGGTATGAAAGCTGATCATGAGAAATGATTTCTAAAGTCAGTCACAATATCTTCCCACAGCTTACCAATCACAAAGTTACGAGCTATTTAGAGGAACAAAAGAAAACAGAACTGAATCTCCTCATTAAATACTGGGTTGTCATAATAGTCATGATATTTTTTTCTATGCAAAAATGTGTCATGACTTTTCTGACAACCC